ATCCTGAGTATCGTGGAGTCGCCAGCCGTGGATGAGCTGTGGCCAAATCTTGCAGGCAAGCTGCAGAAGTGATGCTTTCTTCCCAGCCAGGTGAGGCGGTGACCTTGCATGGAACTGTGTGTGGAAATTTCAGAGGCCTGGGGGGACGGCACTGGGGGGACGCGTGGGTGAGTGCTGGCTGCTGGAGTCACAAAGAAAGACTGTTGTCTTCCCAGTGGAAATGTGTGTCACGGGGCGGGGAGGGGGGTGGGAGGGGAGGAGGGGCCCTGCGGTGGTGAGCGGCCTCACTCCAAGCAGGGAGCGCCATGACAATGAAGGCGCTGCCAGGAGCTGGGGCAGCTGGGAACCCCGCAGAGCAACGGGACAGAGAAGGGTCTGAACCCCAGTGTGCTGAAGAGTAACGCACCTCCCACGCCCACCGGGGCCTGAGCACGCTGCTGGGAGGCAGGATGACAGTCCTCTGCCCCAGGGACCTCTGCCCGCATCGCCACCCAGCCTGTGGGAGCTGCCATGTGCTTGTTTAGCACACAGGCCCTGGACGGAGCCTTGTCCTACCTCTACAGACATCCACTGTCCCCAAGGGGCAGGCGCTGACCCACCGGGCCGCTTGGGTCAGCAGTGCAGAGGGTCAGGGTAGAGGACACAGGGGAGGGGTGAGGGGGCCTGATGCTGGCCGTGGAGGACCCGCGGGTCAGCTTTCCCTGGCCATGGCCAGCGTGGGGCGCCTTGTGTGCTCTTGTTACCAAGTCTCCCAGGAACAAACTACTATGGTCATCAAAGAGAAAGAGGGAAGGCCAGGGCCGCCTGCTCTTTTCCCAGGAGTTGCCTCTGGGTCACGGGCTCATTGTGCAGAGCACCCTGAGATGCCCTCTCCCCTCTCCCCTCTCTCCTCACGAAGGCCACGCATGTTATTCTGGGCAGTCTCTGAAACCGCAGCTGCCTCTGCCTGGTGCCCCTGGGTTCGGGACTGTGGAATTCCGTCCGGAAGTGGGAACGAGGGGGTGGGAAGGGGCCCGTGAGTATCTGTGGAGCCACGTGTGGCTGGCACCAGTGCCGTCAGGGCAGACTGCAGAGACCCTGGACACCCTCTCCCTGCTCCTGGCCTCCTCTCACTTGTGTGTGTCCCTGGGCTGGACACGGAGCTGACACGGGCCTCAGGCATTGGCTGCAGTGACTGCCGAACAGCTCAGCCAGATGAGACAGTGTCCACCCGCTCTGCCTGGACTCTAGGGGTCCTCCTTTGGCTATTCCTGATGGAAGAGCTGGAGTGGACCCAGGCTGTGAACCCCTCACAGTCCTCATCTGGACAGAGGCTGCACGAAACCCTGCTCTGGCGTGGTGGTAGGAAGACCAGTGGCAGTGGCCATCAGAGTTCCCAAGCTTAAAAATGATCAATGCTCACAGAGATGACCCATGGCCAGGCACAACCACTGATTTTCACTCCCTTAGGACTTTCATGGACCACTAGGGTTCTGAGAACCAGAGTCTCACATTGCAGGCAATGGCCCTGTCCACTAGGGGCCATCTCCTGCCTCTTGTCTCCCATCCCACATCTTTTCAGACCAAGCAGGCTACATGGGTCTTGGAGAGCCTAAATCTGAGACAGGGCTTGGTGCCTGCGGCAGGGAGGGGTCCCATGTCCAATACACAATTCCTTAAACAGCGTAGAGAGGGCCCAGGGTCACTGAGCTGCCTCCTTTTTCTATCTGCCTCTGCCTCTCTTTCTCTCTGTGCAGATGAGTAGTGATGGTCAGTCAACAGGGATGCCAGGTTCCATCCACCTCAGCCTGAGAGAGGTCGAGGCCCAGGATAGGTTTCCAGGGACCCTAGGTTGAAGACACAACCCCTGTAAGGAGACCATTGGGCCAAGGTCAGCGAAGGTCAGCCTGGCTGGAGGCTGTTATGCAGCTTCAGATGCTCTGACTTCCTAGGAAGACTTGAAGGGAGTGGAGGAGTGGGCGAAGGGCCGTGGCACAGATTTGGGCTGACGCCTGGAAGGCCCCTCACGGGGTCAGGCCTGAGCTGACGGGGGAGGCTGAGGTGTGGCAGGAGGCCAGCCGTGGGCAGCTCTTTTCCAGCAGAGTTGGTCTGGCGTTTCCTCTGGGTCTGAAAGGTGGAACCTAGAGCTGTTTCGGGGAGCAGTGGTGCTCACCCCAGGTCCTGGCTCATAGCAGACATCAGAACATCCTCACCTAGGGCCCCAGAAGAGAAGCATCGACTTGAGTGAACAGTGTTGAGTAGTATTCTGGAATTTCTAGAAAATTCCAAGTTGAGAACAAAGGGGTCACAAGAAAAAAGAAGAGAAGAGGTTAAAAATTAAAAAGGGAGCCTGGCACCAGTGGCTCACGCCTGTAATCTTAGCTACTCAGGAGGCTGAGATCTGAGGATCTTGGTTCAAAGACAGCTGGGCAGGAATGTACTACATGAGACTCTTATTTCCAATTAACCACCAAAAGCAAGAAGTGGAGCTGTGGCTCAAGTGATAGAACAGTATCCTTGAGCACAAAAGCTCAGGGACGGTGCCCAGGCCCTGAGTTCAAGCCCCAGGACTGGAAATTAATTAATTAAATAAATAAAAGGGACAATGCTGTCATTATTTATAGCCTAAATTTTTTTGAAAAAAGTGCCAGTGGTTGAAATGGGAAAACATTTGCATAGCAGAACTTGGGGTTCTGTGTGGTGACACGTTAAAAGAGAACTAGAAAGTGCCAATCATGTCTTACTCTGTGTTTACCTCCCATCGCTGGGTACGACCCCTTACAGCAGTAACAGAAAGGTGTCACTAAATGAAAAAAAACGTGACTGGCCAACGTAAATGCCACGGCTCTGCAGATTTATAAGTGCATTACTGGAGGGAAACATTTAAGGTTCATCTTGGAGGGGACCAGGAGAGCCTAGAAAACGTCCAGGAAGACTGGAGGAGGACAGAGCTCCTGGAGATTCCCCTCCTGCCGGCCGGGCAGCCCAGCACGCCCAGGACAGTCTGAGTGGATCAGGGCCACAGTGGACAGGCAGCATGGGGGTAGACAGGCACCACCTGCAGCAGTTTGCCCTGGTCTGGCTGCCAGGTGAATGGAGGTGGAGGTGGAGACTGCAATGGTGGAACCGTGTTCTGAGGCTGTGGACACTCTCTTCTTCTCCACCCCAAGCCCCAGGTCTTCCTTCCTGCGGGTGCACTCTTGAGCAGCACGGCCCAGACCCTGACCTGGCCTGGCTGTGCCAGGGCACCGGTGAACCTCCAGGTCACCCCTCGGGCCTCCCGTCCCCTCCCCAGGGAGCAAGAGGTGGGGCTGGGCCTGGAGGAGCAGTCAGCTGGGGCTGGGGGGGTGGGCAGGGGCAGAGCTGCTCAGCTGACCCTCACCTCACTGAACTCATCCCACGTCCTCCCCAGCCCCTCTGTGCACTCCTACCCCTAGAAGATTCTTCCAAGGACAGGGACTTTGGCCTCCTCTGGTCACCCGCAGCCCCTGTGCGGCAGGCGCGAAGGAGCATGGGTGGACGGATGAGCAGAACCCGTTAAATAAGGACCAGAGCCCAGGAGCAACCGCATGGCCGTGGCAATGCCCAGGGGCCCATGGAGTGGGGGGGGGGGGCGCACGGAGCCGGGGGCGCACTGAGCCGGGTGGGGGCACACGGAGCCGGGGGCACACGGAGTGGGGGTGCACGGAGCGGGGGGTGCACAGAGCGGGGGCACACGGAGCCGGGGGCGCACGGAGCCGGGTGGGGGTGGGCACCGAGCGGGGATGCACGGAGCCGGGGCTCACGGAGCGGAGGTGCACGGAGCCGGGGGCACACGGAGTGGGGGGCACAGAGCCGGGTGGGGGTGGGCACCGAGCGGGGATGCACGGAGCCGGGGCTCACCGAGCGGAGGTGCACGGAGCCGGGGCTCACGGAGCCGGGGTGCACGGAGCCTGGGGCACACGGAGCCGGGGCTCACGGAGTGGGGGGTGCACGAAGCCGGGGGCACACGGAGCCGGGGTGCACGGAGCCGGGGGCACACGGAGCCGGGGTGCACGGAGCCGGGGGCACACGGAGCCGGGGTGCACGGAGCCGGGGGTGCACGGAGCCTGGGGCACACGGAGCGGGGGCGCACGGAGCCGGGGTGCACGGAGCCGGGGGTGCACGGAGCCTGGGGCACACGGAGCCGGGGGCACACGGAGCGGGGGTGCACGGAGCCGGGGGCACACGGAGCGGGGGTGCACGGAGCCGGGGTTCACGGAACGGGGGCGCACGGAGCGGGGGGGGGGGGCACGGAGCCGGGGCTCACGGAGCGGGGGCGCACGGACGGGGGTGGGGGTGCACGGAGCCGGGGGCGCACGGAGCGGGGGCGCACGGAGCCGGGGGGGGGGGGCACGGAGCCGGGGCTCACGGAGCGGGGGCGCACGGACGGGGGTGGGGGTGCACGGAGCCGGGGGCGCACGGAGCGGGGGCGCACGGAGCCGGGGGGGGGGGGCACGGAGCCGGGGCTCACGGAGCGGGGGCGCACGGACGGGGGTGGGGGTGCACGGAGCCGAGGGCGCACGGCCTCCGGGTCCCAGCGGGGACTTCAGCCTCCGAGGTCTGCTTGAGCCTCCCGGGACCCGGCGGACCCCGTGCGTGCGTCAGGGCGCGAAGAGCCCCAGGCTGGCCGGGGGAGGGGGCCGCACCCTCCTCCCTGTCCCCTTCTCCAGCGCCCTCCCCGCCCCCCCTCCCGCCCCGCCGGCCCATCCCTCGCCCCGCCCCGCCCGCCCCGCCCCGCCCGCCCCGCCCCACCCGCCCTCCCCGCCCTCCCCGCCCCGCCCCGCCCTCCCCGCCCTCCCCCGCCCTCCCCGCCCTCCCCGCCCTCCCAGCCCCGCCCTCCCCGCCCTCCCCCGCCCTCCCGCCCTCCCCGCCCCGCCCCGCCCTCCCCGCCCTCCCCCGCCCTCCCCCGCCCTCCCCGCCCCGCCCTTCCCTCTGGCTCCGCGCAGACCGACACCGGCGCGGGTCGCTCCGCACCCCGCAGCCACCGCGGCCACCGCGGCACCCGCCGGCCCGCGGACGCCAGCATGTCCCAGCGCTTCGTGGTGACCCCGGCAGCGGGCGGCACCGGAGACCCGAGGCCCGCGGCCGAGAGCCCCGACGCCGACACCGACGCCGGCCGCGCGGCCTCGCCGGAGGAGCCCCAGGCAGACGCGCTGCCCATCCTGCGCTACTGCCGCGAGCCCAGCCGCTACGGTGGGTGAGCGAGTGTGTGCGCGTCTCCACGGCGGACATGCACCTCCGTGTGTGTGTGCGAGTGTGTGCGTCTCCACGGTGGACATGCACCTCCGTGTGTGTGTGTGTGTGCGAGTGTGTGCGTCTCCACGGCGGACATGCACCTCCGTGTGTGTGTGTGCGTGTGTGTGCGTCTCCACGGTGGACATGCACGTCCGTGGGTGTGTGTGCGTGTGTGTGCGTCTCCACGGTGGACGTGCACCTCCGTGTGTGTGTGTGTGTGCGAGTGTGTGTGCGTGTGCGTCTCCACGGCGGACATGCACCTCCGTGTGTGTGTGTGTGTGTGCGTCTCCACTGTGGACATGCACCACCACGTGTGTGTGTGTGTGTGTGCGAGTGTGTGTGCCTCCACGGTGGACATGCACCTCCGTGTGTGTGTGCGTGTGTGTGTGCGTCTCCACTGTGGACATGCACCACCACGTGTGTGTGTGTGTGTGTGTGCGAGTGTGTGTGCCTCCACGGTGGACATGCACCTCCGTGTGTGTGTGTGCGAGTGTGTGTGCCTCCACAGTGGACATGCACCTCCGTGTGTGTGTGCGTGTGTGTGTGCGTGTGCACCTCCACGGGGCGTGGGGGACCTCACGGTGGACATGGGTTGCTTCCATGGGCATGTGCCTCGGATGGGTTGCGCAGGGCAGGCTACGTCCTGGCGGGTCCCCGGGCCTCTGGACACAGTCACCTGTCGGCGTGGTCATCTGTAGACATAGGTGGCCGCAGCTCTCTGGCTGCTGCCCCAGTGTCAGGAGAGGCCACTGTGCAGGATTTGGGGACAGAGCTGGCATTAGGGCTGATGGCTGTGGCCAGCCGTGGTGATTTAGCGGATCCGTCCTGCGGGCCTTGCCTGTGATACCAGCTTCAGACCCTCACAGGAGCCAGTGGGGGCGTTGTTCAGAGTGCTCGATCGCGGTGGGCCGTCCAGGGGCAGCCAGGCTTGGAGTGGGAGGCAGGGGTGTGCAGATGTGCGCTCTCCGGACCCCCTGGTCACCTGCTGCCCATGCTTAGGGCCCGGCCCGCTCACGCCTGGCTTCCTGTGGCTCCCATTGGACCCTCTCAGATCTGAGAAGGGACAGCTGCCAAGGGCTAGGGCACCTGGCCACTCATGGGGCCGCACAGGTGTTGTACGAACCCCACCCCGTCTGAAAGTCCTGCTTTGGCCCTCCAGTGAAGACAGCTGGATCAGGGCTGGGCTTTACACCCCACCCACCTGGAGGTCAGGCCGCACGGGCCGGCCACCCCAGGTTCCCTGGCTCCTCTGAGGGCCTGTCTGCCCTTCCTGGACCCCGGTTCTCTACTGCTTCCAGGGCCACAACACAGGTGCATATAGGACGTGTGCGTGTCTCCAATGTGTGCACCCGGGGCCCATGAGAGGCGCAGGCAGGGGCCACTCCTAGGTCCTGCAGCGAGGTCTGGGTCAGGGGCAGCTGGTTCTCAGACCCTGCTTTCCACCACCTGCAGCTCCAGAGAGGCCTCGGGCCGAGGCCGGGTCTGCACCCTAGGCCTGGAGGGAAGCTGACCTCTGGCCTCTGGCCCCTCCCCCGATGCCAAGGGAAAGGAGAGGCTGGGCTCCTGATCTTGTTCTGGCAGCGGGCCGAGCCCTGGCCCTCTGCCTGCCTGCCCAGGGGCGTGTTTCTCTATGGAACCCAAGAAGTGAATGTGACTCACCCAGCCACCGACGGCACCATGAGAGCCGTGAGGAGCAGGCAGGCCCTGCCGGTGGACTGTTGACAGAGGATGTCAGCAAGGCCTTGGGAGAAGTGCGGCTGGGGACACATGGGGTCACCCCCACGACGGGCCTCCTGAGGGGCGGCAGTGAGCTCCACTTGTCCCCAGGCAGGAGCAGCAGAGGGCTGGGTAAGCCTGCGGAGGGCCGGCCTGTCAGGAGCGGCCAGTGCTGACTTTGACAGGGGTGTCCAGGAGCACCGTCCACCACCAATGTCACCGTCAGAGCCTTCCGAGCCCCTGGGGATGGGAGGCCAGGGGCCAGCGGTGGTGTGACTCACCCTTCCTCCTGCATCAGGAAGTGTCCATCCCTACTGGCACTTGGAGGAAGGGCATTGCCCCAGAGTCCGGGTAGCGTAGGCGAGAGAAGGGGCTGAGACAGGCCAGAGGCCTCCCGCTCCACACTCGTCCCCCCAGCCCCTCCCCTCTCCTCCTAAGTTCTCTGGCATGGACCAGGCCCTCCGGGGTCAGACCCAGTCTGGGAGACTAGGGTAGGGCCGGGTCTGCCTCACCTCCCCAACATGGACCCTGCACTGTCCCAAGGCCTTAGCACAGTGACTGCCCGGCTGGCCAGTGCGCCTGTCGGTCGACAGCCGGGCGGCTCCAGCCAACGGTCGGTCGGTCAGATGACTCTGTGCGGTGTCCACCACTTGGGAACAGAAGATCTATTATTTGATGCTGTCATTAAGACAATGTAAACTAAGTTTAAAAAAGCAAACAAAGATTTTATGGGTCTGCTTTAGGCGCGGGGCCAGGAGCTGAGGCCTGGGTGAGGCATTGTCCCGAGCTGACCTGTGTGGCGAGCGGTGGGAATGAACCTGCTACACCTCCAGACACCCGGACTCCGGGCTGGCATCTCCCCCCCCCACACCTTCTGTGTTACTGTTACCCTGGCGATGGCAGCTCAGTTGTGACCCTTTGACCCCTCAGGAGTGCGTTAGATGGGGTGTCTGGGGTGGCTGTGGTGGGGTCCCCCTCCTGAAGCTGCTCCAAGAGGACTGGCAGCAGGGAATGCACACACCACATGGGGGCACGCCAGGCCACGGGCGCACATGCCTTCCCACTCCGCTTGGAGAGCCGCAGAGGGGAGCTGCCACACACCTGCTGCTAGGTGCTGCTTCCTGGAGGCGCCACACCTGTGGGCACAGGTGCACAGGGCAGGCGGAGGTGGGCTGACCACAGGAGAGAAAGAGCCAGGCTGGAACGGCATGGAGGCCCGGGGCCCAGGCCCAGGCCCAAGGTGACCTGAACAGTCCCCTGGAATGTCCCTCCGGTCAGAAAGAACGAGGAGAAGCCGGGAGCTGGTGGCTCACGCCTGTCATCCTAGCTACTCAGGAGGCTGAGATCTGAGGATCGCGGTTCAAAGCCAGCCCGGGCAGGAGAGACCGTGAGACTCCTATCTCCAATAAACCACCAGAAAACCGGAAGTGGCGCTGTAGCTCAAGTGGTAGAGTGCTCGCCTTGAGCTGAAGAGCTGAGGGACAGCGCCCAGGCCCAGAGTTCAGGCCCCACGGCCAACAACAACAACAAAAAAAGAAATGACGAGGAGAGGGAAAAGCTGGGAGAAAGCGAGGCCAGGGCTGACACTGTCCGGAAGAGATGCACTCTTCACCTGACTCACATCACCGTAGCTTACATCTCCTTTATAATAACAGCGGAGAGGGGCCCCACACAGCCCCTGTGTCCTGTGAGGTCACCGGCTTCCAGGCCGCGCTGGCCCTGCGCTGGGCCACAGCGGAGCCTGTGGGCTCTGTGGTTTCAACCCCTGCAGAGGCGAAGGTCAGAGGTGAGGCGCTGATTGAGGGTGGGCACCCTGCTTCCTGCTGCTGTTATGGCTGGTCGCCCACAGGTCTGCCGGACTGTGGTAATTACACCCGGAGCCTGGTGGTGCAGCCTTGGCCGGGCAGTGCAGAAGCCCTGGCAGCCGTGCTCACAGAAGGCAGGGCCTGCCCTCCGGGGGCCCAGGGCCTCACCCGCCACACTGCGGGTCTATGATCTAGTGCTCCGTGAGGCCAGGCTGGATACAGTGTCTCGGTGTATCTGTGCGTGTGCGTGTGCGTGTGCGTGTTGTGTACTCATAGCCACAGTGCGTGTCTGTGGTGGATGTGAACGTGAGTCTCTGTGAATGTCACATGTGTCTCTGTGTGTCTCCATGTTGTCTTACATACTTCATGCCATCTGCAGTGTGTCTGTGTGTCTCTTCATGCTGTCTGTGTCTCTGTGGAGTTTGTTTTGAGTGTTTGTGGCTCAGCTGGTTGCCTGAATCTCAGAAGTGGTCCTCGTGGGAAAGAAGTCCATGTGAGAGGCCCGTGAGGAAGATGAGCGCCGGATCCAGGCTTCTGGGATCTGGTAATGACAGGGCCTGGTGGGAACCGCGGCCCCTTGTCTGACGGCAGGATGAGCTCAGGGCCCCTTGCTGCTGCCCCAGCCTCGGCTCCGGGGCCTGGCTCTCCCCCTCGCACCTGCTCTCCTCACACCCTTCACAGGTCGGAGGCAGCTTTCCCCGGGGTCCTAGGCTTCTGCTCAGGGTGGGAGTGTGGACGTGCCTTGGCTGCCTCCCCGCTCGGGCCGGGCCAGTGAGCCGATCCCAGGCGGAAGGCAGGGCTCTGGTGTCTGACAACCCGCTGCCGGCACACTGGGCAGACTTTGTTTTCTTTTTGCTTAAATATTTCATGGAGCTCAGCCTTCTGATTAACCACAGCCTTCCTCCCTGTCCTCACACGGGGCCCTTTTCTGTCACCTCATGCGAAGAACTCTCTTCTTGGTGGTGGTTAACTTGGTCTAACAAGAAAGTGTTGGAATTCACATCTTCCCTTCTGCCCTTTGCTACATGATGTTTCCTTGGGCTTCTTTGCCGCCAGAGTGGGATACGGGCCTTGGGGCAACTCCCTTCATATGTCAGAATTTTCTCTAAATGAGCGCAGCAGCATTCTGCCTGACTGGAGTCGTGGGGCGAGGTTGCCCAGGCCTGGGTCCCGGCTGGGTGATGATTGGGGGCGGGGGTGTGACCCTGCGGGGGAAGGGGGAGCAGTGGGGTTTCCTGTGCTGTGGCTCTGAGGCCGGCCAGGGCCCAGGGGCCGGGAGGGCTCTGCTGAGGTCTGAGCCCGGAGCACAGGGGCACAGAGGAAGGGGACTGGATGGGTGTGAGTTTTGGCTCCAGTGTGGACATGTAGGAGGGAGGACAGGTGGCAGGGGTGAAAAGTGCAGACACCGGCAGAGAGTAAAACCATCGCCCGAGTGTG